TTTGTCAGGCTTTAATATGTCTGTTTTGTTAACTACTAGATGACATGATGTGACTGGCTCAGTGCTTGTTGCTTAAATTTACAAATTTAAATGAAACATGACCATACTAAGCATACTAAGATAAAATAACTGAACCACTGAAAGGTATGCATTTCCTTTAGGAAGATGTAATAGTAAYGCATGTATTGATTCTTTAGTTTACCTCCTACCATCACAACTCCATCCAACAAAACAATAGCAATAGAATGAAAGCAATACAGATGGTCAAAATAACATATAGAATCATAGAAACAATACAACTGATGCTCACGAAAGGCACAGGCTGACCCCAAAGCCTGATCAAAATAGGTAGTTAAAATACTGAATACTGATGCCGAGTTATACCAGTGTCTGAGCTATCCAAATTTAAAAGACAGAAAACACACACAAATACAAATTCAAAACTATACAGATAAACAAATACATACTGTTTAACTGTAACTTCTTCCTTGCTGTTGGAGTTTTCATGCCATTAGCTATTCTTCGTGAATGTCTCTCCTTAGACACGGAGGACTTGGAAGCAGAATGTTTTGATTCTATTTCCATCTCAACATCTTTATTTTTTGTCACACTCTGCACAACTCTCTCAGTTTCTTCTTCCAGGGCACAAATGACGTCCAAAGGATACAGCGGGGATTTTGGCAAAAATTTTGGGCTATCACCTCTTTTCTTGTTTGCTTCTTTCAACTTGGAGAATGTRTCAGGGGATAAAGGTTTAAAGCATTTCCCATCCCAAGACTGTTTGACATAGAAAGTTTGTTCCGTGTTTAATACAATTGGTAGCGTTTCCCCCGGATGCAGTGGTATTACCTATAAAAGGAGAAAATATAAAAGCACACACTTTGGCATTTACTGTTCATCTGGCATTCAAATATTTTCTGTTCATATGACTTAATACTGGAATGCTTGCAAACTACATTATAGATAGTAACGTCTTCAATCTACATTTAGACTAGCTTAAGTTTACTGCACCACAGGAGGACTCCCACCACGCTTCTCTATCTCCTAAGCTTTAGGACGACTTTGGTTGTTGTCACACAGCTCCAAGTTGGGGGAAAGGATGAATATTAACATTTTCCTACTATCCCATGCAACTGCGTTAATAGTCAAATACACCTCATATCTTTGATGGGGGAGGGAATATAAAATAGTTGTAGCGCTCTGCTCCTTTTTTTGGGGGGGAGGAGGGGGAAGAGGGGAAGGGGAGTTGGGGGGAAGGGTGGTTCTTTCTTTCCTGTGTGTACAAAATGGGCTGCAGAACATACCGTGACACTCTTAATAATGGTCTCCACAGCGATGTCAGTGTCATATCCAGAAACTTGATCAAAAAATACTTCTTGTCGAGGAATCTCTCTTTTAAGTAGTTTCCTTTTATTCTGGGGTACCTCCGTAATATGAGAAAACCACTGCACAATAGCATGTTTCTGTTGAGCACCTGTAATAACAGCAACAAAATAACCAGTGAATATTAAAAACTGCTTTCATTGATCACAGTTAGTTAACAATATTTTGGCAAAGCTCAGTGAAGTCAAATAAAATATTTCACTAGACACCTTACATATGCATACCCCAAAAGGCGATACTCTTCCCTAAGAGCTTTTCGATTAGGCAGAACAGATRAATAAAGTTACTGTTGCCTTTTTCCACACAATTAAGAAGAAATAAATTGGCTCAACATCATACAGGTACGGTAGTAAAACTAGGAACTGACCCCAGGTCTCTGACCATCATAGTCCTCCAAGAGTCCTGCAGTTCTGACCCTCATAGTCCTGTCTTGCTGAGCATTCACTGCATGCTGAGCATTCAGTGCGATACCTCATTACTAACGGAAAGTTATTTACCAAGGATGTGAAAACTGCAAATATGCAAACAATTTTGTATCAATTGCTATGTAATTTTATTTTTAAAGTGATGTTTGAAGCTGGCAGGCTATGGCTCTGAACTTCCATTGCTACCTGTTGCTCAAGCAAGTGGCACCCTTTCAAGGTCATCGTAGCTCCAAGACTGATCCAGTGATACCACTACCTGAAAGCTGCTCCCATGTGAAATGTGCATAAAGGCTGTATGRAATGGAACAAGTGGAGCAATAGGGGCAATGAGAAACTCTATTCAGTCATGAGAAACATCAAGATTAAGTGTTCTTAATTTTAACTAGAGAAAAAGAAAAAGAGAAAAAGAAAAAAAAACAAAAAGCCCCACACATTTATCCAGTGAATGACTAGTCTACAGCTAATAGTTAAGAAGTTTCTTAGATGTTTCTCTAAAACATCTGACCCCTATKAWTGGCAAGATATAGGGTTAATGAAAAACTATTTGACAGACTGAATTAACATGTTTGAGCTGAGACTTGCGGGTGATTAAGACAACAGCAGTGCAGAGTCTCAGCCACAAGCTACCCACAGATCAATCGGTTCACAGCTGTATTTTCGGATCAGTTCACTACCACAAATGAAGACGTTCCTCATTTGTATACACATAACCYGCTCACAGCCCACCAACTGAAAGCAGCTGCAGAAAACGAGAACTAAGAAATTTCAAAAAAMCATTTGCAAATTCAGAATTATTTTAAAGATAAATGAGAAACATTCACTGCTTAGAAGATAGGGAATCCTGTTACTGGGACATAAGTGCACTAAYGAAAGAAGCTTTGAATAAACATTGCAGTCAGATACAGTGTGGATGGAGTTAAAAAAAATACTCAAATTACAATATCACCTTTCTCTCTAGAWTTTAAGTTGACAAGAAGAAAAGCTCAGCATCCCATTTCCAAGAAAAGTTTCACATCTGCCATTACAACATGAAAAAAATACTACAACAAATATGCGCTAATAAATGGAGTTATATGTATTCATCTTATAAAAAAATGAATATGAAACCCTGAAAATGTTATCATGATGACAGTCCAAAGCMAACAACAAAAATTTTCAAAGACATCAAACAGGCATAACTGTTGAGTTGTTTCTGATTTCGACTCAAGACACAGCCTTTTGAGTGTCACTGGTAAGATTTATTTTTCCAGTCTATGTTCATCTATAAACAAGCAGTTCCATGAAGGACAGAAGTAATGAGCCTTCCCCCGCCAAAATCTGCACCTTCTTACCAAATTCCTTGATACCTAATACAATGCACGTTCCTCAACTGCAGTGTTCCTACTCCACATAAATCCTTTAATATTTAAGTGTGAGTTCACATGGCCTTCTTTACCCCATTTTTTCTAATAGATGACAAAGTAAGATCCAAGAAATTGAATGTCATTATCACTCTYCTTATCTATCATTTTTGTTAAAGTGTTTGTTAGCCTTAAATATTTGACATGCATGTGGATAAACACAGTGATTACCAAAGCTTTCTTAATAAATTGGGCAACCAATACAGTGCTAACACTAACTACATCACCAGGAAGCAGGTAGCTATAAAACATTTTAAGATTTCTCAGCTAGAAGGAAATATATTTTTATTACTCTTACCATCTTCATACAAATCCAGGAGTTGTGCCACGAAAGGTCGATCTGCATTCTCCCCTTCCACTAAAACAAACTCRCCAATCTGTATACAGGTTTCTGTTTGACTTCTTTCTGATTTAATAAGGAATCCCCTAGAAAGGGATATGCACATGTTGATTAGTAGGACTTACACTCTCCACAATTCAAATTTTATTAAAGTTGATTAGAAACACTACCAAAATTGAGTCAGACAAAACAAACTCTGCCTAACAAGACCTCTGCCAAATAGTCACTTAACACACATTAAAAGATTTAACTGAATTTCTTTTGTTTATTCAATGTGCATTTTTAAATTCATGATCTTTTTATTTTATATGTATATATGTGTATATACACACACACACACACACACAAAGTCCTGCTCACAACTGCTGCTCTATTCTATCCTCACTGCTGCATTAACCTACAAAATTCCGGAAGGGTAAAGAACACAATCCCTGTTGTCTATGGTTCTCTGAAYGAACCATAAATGTTATTTACTTGTACTGCAGAGTCCTCAGTTTTCTGTCTGAGCTTGTGGGTCTTCCAAACCAGGCATAGATACGTTTGCTCTGTTGACGGGTGTTCATGATTCCTAAGGAAAATAAATTTAAATATATATATATATAATTGAATTTTAAAGAGAAGAACAGGGAACAACACAGACTTGCCAAATTTTCAGATCTGCTACCGGCTCTAGAGGAGCGTGTGAAGAAGTCAGCACACATGGTGTAACCTACAGAACTGGCCTTCTCCAAAGCTCCAGAACGTTGAGGACAAGGGAAAGTCGTCAGTATTTGGGACAAAACGGCTCTGGCGACACCGGGGGCCCTCGACTGGCCATTTTGCACCCAGGCCCCCTAACGCCCAGCAACCAAGCAGATGAGGCCTTCCCAGCCCTTTAAAACGCACCTAGGTTTTATTTAAAGCTCTGAAATGAGAGCTTTCCCTCGGGGAACGCCTCAGGAAAACGCACCCTCTCCCCACGACGCCGCCAGCCCCCCACGGGCCCGGCGGGCGGGCGCGACGCGGCACGCAGGGCCCCGCGGGGGGCGGCACACGGGGCCCTGCGGGGGCGCTGCCTCGTGGGGCGGCGCGCGGGGGGGGGGGGGGGGTCACAGCGCCAGCGCCGGCCCGCGAGGGGAGCCCGGGGCGCCCCACCGCCCTCACGGAGTGGCCGCCATCGCTCCCCCCGCCCCAACTCACCACGGCGCCTCAGCGGCCCCGCGCGCGGCGCCCACGGCAGCGGCGCGAGCTCCGGCTGCCCGCGCGGATGGAATTTCGCGCCAAAGCCAGCCTGAAGCCCCGCCCCCTCCCTGCGCATGCGCGCACGGCGGGGGGAGAAGGGGCGGGGAGCTGCGCCATATTTGTACCTGGCGCCGCGAAGTCGCGGCCGCCCTGAAGTAAAATGGCGGCTGGGCGGGGCGGGGCGGGGCGGYGGYGCCTCGGAAGCGGTCAGCGCCGCTGGCGGAAGCGGCGCGGGGAGCGGCGGCGGCGCGGCCATGGCGAACCGGACGGTGAAGGACGCGCACAGCATCCACGGCACGAACCCGCAGTACCTGGTGGAGAAGATCATCCGCACGCGCATCTACGAGTCCAAGTACTGGAAGGAGGAGTGCTTCGGCCTCACGGGTAGGGCGGCGCGCGCCGGGCCGGGCCGGGCGCGGGGAGCCGCCGCCGCGGGGCCCTCACGGTGTCGCCCCGCGCAGCCGAGCTGGTGGTGGACAAGGCCATGGAGCTGCGCTACGTGGGCGGCGTGTACGGCGGCAACATCAAACCCACGCCCTTCCTGTGCCTCACGCTGAAGATGCTGCAGATCCAGCCCGAGAAGGACATCATCGTGGAGTTCATCAAGAACGAGGACTTCAAGTGAGCGCCGCCGCCCTCCCGCCGCCGCGCCGCCGCCCCGCGCCGCTCACCTGCTCTGCCGCCCTTCCAGGTACGTGCGGATGCTGGGCGCCCTGTACATGCGGCTGACSGGCACCGCCATCGACTGCTACAAGTACCTGGAGCCGCTCTACAACGACTACCGCAAGATCAAAAGCCAGAACAGGAAYGGGGGTAAGCGCCGCCTCGGAGCCTGGGCTTCTCTGCGCACCCGAGGTGGGGTTCTGCTGGAAAAAGTACGTAGGGTTAGATGAAGCTAAATCTATACTTCAGTAAAAAGGGCGTGAAGAATTGTAGGCAAAGCATGTTCTTAAAAATCTCTTTTTTTTCATTCATTCATTGGATAGCCCACTGCTCTAAGCTGGTACAGATGGGACCTGCCTCGTATCTTTTGCGTTTCCTAAACACTTGTATCTCGTATTTATTAAACTGAGTTTTAGTTAAACTGAGTTTAGCAAAATAGAAAACAAATATCATCAGACTGCTGGTATAACTGTTGGCAATCTATTAACCCTACCAGTGCCACGATTTTCTGTCTTTGCTAAGCAGGCCTGTTGTTTTTTCTAATCTTTAGGAATTATTTTGGAGCTACTACTTGCTTGAAGCTTAAAAGGCTGTACATTTCATCTTTACCTCAGTTGCTAGCCTTAATTTTCTTCGTCTCTTGAATGTTGTTTTTCTTCCCAGAATTTGAACTGATGCATGTGGATGAATTTATTGATGAACTGCTCCACGAAGAACGTGTGTGTGATATCATTCTGCCTCGATTACAGGTTTGGAAAAGTGGATAATAATTGAATTCTTAACTACATCACATTTGGTACCTACTCATGCAGGACTCCTTCGGCACAGCAGATGCTTTCTTAGGTTTTTGTTCTTATTTAGCTTATGTAAAATAAAGTTGGAATTTCTCCTAGAAACGATATGTTCTGGAAGAAGCTGAACAACTTGAACCTCGTGTTAGTGCTTTGGAAGAAGACATGGATGATGTGGAGTCGAGTGAGGAAGAAGAGGAAGAAGATGAAAAAGTTAGTTGACTCTTTTACTGCGTTTTATAAGGGGGTAATTAAAACTGAGGATGAAATATCATAGTACACTTTACATTTATTTTATTCTGGGAGGACTTGTTTCYTTTTTTACCTCTTTGTATTAGTTGTTTGGGAATCCTTACTCATAACTTAGCCTGAGGAAAGACTTACAGAGGTGACTTTTRCAATGTTTCCAGTTGGAGCGAGTACCCTCTCCCGATCACCGCAGAAGAGGCTACAGAGACCTGGACAAACCCCGCAGATCTCCTATTGTGCGATACAGGCGGAGCCGAAGCAGGTCTCCAAGAAGGTGAGACGGGGCTCTCTTGGAACAGTATTTTTACAATAAAATGAACTGCAGAGTTTTTACTGGCACAGAACTGAAGATAGTGTCTAATTGGAATCTCTGCTTCTTTTGGTCACTACTTAGGCTTGCAGTGTTGCACAGCCGCAAACAAACCCTGCTTGCCCATTTCCCCGGTCTTGCTGGCCAACTTCAGCTACATTTGACATTGAAATGAAGCTGTCGAGTAAAATACAAGTGCCTTGTGGTTTTCATGTAAACCAAGGATTAAGGAAAATATAATCTTGCAAATGGGGCCTATGGGTATTAAGCCAGGAAAAAAAAAAAAATCACTTGTTTTTGCTCTCTGTTYAGACCAGAAGCATATACTGGTTGAGGGTAGCAGGCTACACATGCTGCTGGGATATGGGAGAATGCCAGGAAAGCCCTGGTGCTGGTTGCAGGAACTGTAGGATATAGGAAACAAAATGCTGATTTGGTAATGTCTTAGTGACTTTTTCTTTTTTTTTTYCCCTCTAATTTTAGACGAAGCCGTTCTCCGAAGAGAAGAAGGTAGTCTGTTTTTCTGCTATATAATCTTAGAATGYGTGCGTTTTTAGTAGGGCTATATAAAARCTTCCTTTCTCTCAGCCCCTCACCACGCCGGGAGAGGCATCGCAGCAAAAGCCCAAGACGGCACCGGAGCAGATCCAGGGAGAGGCGGCACAGATCAAGATCTAAATCTCCAGGTATTTCTGCAGTTTACCTCTTTAATAGTGGCATGTCTATACTGCATTTTCCTTTTAGTAGATGCTCTGCTGAAACTAGACTAGAGCTTTAATTTGGATTAAGAATGGCTAGTACTATGGAACCATGCCTGGAGAACTCTTTTGATATGTGCAATGCTTCCCTCGGTACCTTTTTCACATACTTAGTTTGTGGGCCTAATTAAGGCTAGGGTTCTCCTGGCCTTACTTGGGACGCTCAGTTGCTAGAAGCAGATCATATTACCAAAACAAAAGAATTGTTGGGTTCTCAGACAATAAGCACAAGTTAACTGTTATCCTTTTTCCCTCACAGGGCATCACCGTAGTCACAGGCACAGAAGTCACTCTAAGTCACCTGAAAGGTAAAGGTCTGGCCTGTTTCTTATAGGTGTTTCTTCTGTTGTAAGAATTTCAGGACTGGAGTTTTTTTACACAATGGGAGATAAAGTATTTGATATGGTACCTCCCCCAGTGGTGAAGTCAAGATTCATTATCTATTGTCTATTGCAGAAAAAGCCACTGTGATTCATAGTACTATTAACTGTTCTAAAACACCACTATGTCCTATGAATCTTTTTGTTTGTTTCAGATCTAAGAAAAGCCACAAGAAGAGTCGCCGAGGGAATGAATAGAGAACTAAACCGAGCAGGCATTTTAGGGACCTTGAACTGCAGTCTAATACTGCCCTAYTTGCTTTATGGGGCAGCAAGAGATGTACTGACTGCATTAGCAGTCTATTTCGTTTTTCTTGTGTAAGTATTAGTTTGTTTCTTTCTATCAAAAGAAAACTAAGGAAACTTTTTATGTAGTTACATTCATGGTTCTGGTAAAATTTTAATTTTTTTTAAAATTGTTTTTGTAAGGCTGGAAAACATTGTGATAAGCAATAAAAACATTTTTGTCTCCCAAGACTCCTTGTTCTGTTTTTTTCCCACTTTGTTTGTTTTGACTTGTAAGTGAAACCAATTTAATTCCCAGATTAAGGCTTTGTTAACAAAGGCAACTAGCATCAGTTGCAAAAGTTAGAATGACTGTGTTGTTAGTTCAATGCTGAAGGAACTACCAGCTTAACCAAGCAAGCAGTGTTTCTCAAAAAACCTCACTGTACAAGAAAGGAAAGTAATGCTCTCAAAGTCTGCTATTCAAGAAGTAGAAGGCAACTTAAAACTAATCTCAAAGATGAAGCTTGTACTGCTCTGTGCCATAGTTACATATTAAAACAAAAACAACTTGAACTCCCGTAATATACTGCTTCTGACATTACTACTAGAAAGTACAACAAAACCCTATCATGTTCAGGCAAAATTACTTAGTAAATTTAAAAAAATAAAAACCCTGCCTTTGAAGACAAACAGCTTGTGGTCTGCTGGGGCTTCAGGAACAGACTGATATACACACACATACACACACCCCCCTGACCCACCTCCAGCGATGCTGAATGAAGTTTGCTCTCAGCAAGGCTCCTAGTTACAGTTCTTAATTAAATATGTATTCTACATTGCAAGGAAACAGCAGTCTGTTAAATCTCCTCTGTACTCTCCCTTTATTTGTAAACTTCCTTAAAAAAGCACGGATTTGAWGTTTTGTCTCCCAAGGATTTTATATATGAAATTGCAATATTGCTGCTTAAGTATTTTCCACGTATTGTCCAGTACATGACAGCACAGAAATAATATAGATTTCTTCCATAATTTCATTGTATATAATAACTTATAATACACTTAATCTTACCAAAATACATATGATTTTAGAAAAGTATGAATGGAAAAGCAGGGAGACCAAGTAGCTAGAAAAAAAAATGCTTTGGCCTATAGTGACATAGGCGGGGGTATTACTTGTCTTATTTATTAAAGCTACTCACCTCTCACATTTTCTTTAAAAAAAAGACACTTTGAATATTTTAAAGTATGCTACATACAGTTAAACACAACATACATACAGCAACTGACAAGGAAAAGTCTTGCATCCTTTTTTTGCAGTTTTATTTTTCTTTTTAAAAAGTTTTTTTTTTTTGGCACTACATAGTTCTGTAAAGAATAGAAGTGACAAATTCTTTAACACATGAAATCCCTTTCTAATTTTATTTTTTTAGAACAATATATATAAAGTCTGAAGCAACCAAAGTATGAATACAGCTAATAGAAAATAAAGAACTTAATTTTAAAAATTCTCTCTCTTTACAGTTTATCAAGATAAAACAAAACACAAGTCCCCTTAAAAATAGGGTAATAAAATAGATGAAATTTGTATCACTCAGTTTTGTGATACTAGTAAAAACTATAGTTCATATCTATGTACAAATGATACAGTTTAAAAACAGTCTTAAATAATCTTGTATCTAAACATGTTGCATTAGGATTTTAAATCAGAACCTGATTTTTTCTCCCCTTCCCCCACCCACCCAGTCATAATCCCCTAAAATTTCACTTTTTCTGTTGAATGTAATTCAGATTCAAGTGTGGGTGTCCTTGAGACAGAAGCGAGAACCGCTGGTTACTCTGCATCAGTGGACCAGCTAGAAGAAAATGGATTACAATTACTTCAAGTTAGTYATAACACTTAACTTAGAAATAAAGGCATTTACGTGTTTGACACAAATGCTATCTAMATGAGTAGCCCATTTAACAGAATAATGCAATGTTATTTTTATCCTCTCTCTGAAATTCACTCAGAATCATCAGTACCTTATTACTGTTGCGTTACTTTAAAGAAATTAAGATTAAACTAAAAAAATAATTTCAGGATTTTTACATCTTGGTCTCACCTGGAAACCTTGCTACAGCCTATGGCTTAGGCTTTGAAAACCAAACAAGAGGAGGATGTGATGGCAAAATCTCCCATCTTACACAAGGTGACCGAGCAGCACAGTAACTGCATGCCCTTAGGTAAAATTTGGCCATGGTCTCTCTCTTACTGGAGCCCAAGGCCATTTTCCATGGCCTTTCCTAATCCTGCAAGATGCTGAACACCTTTATTGTTCACTAGCATCAGGAAGAGTTGGGTAAAGTTAATTCTTCAAAGAATCTTGAATAACTGAACCCAATCTAGCTTTGATTTTTTCACTGCTTTGACTGCAGATGGCACTAGGTGACCTCCAGAGGTCCCTTCTGATCTAACCTGTGAGCTTTTAAGTTCATAATGTAGGCAAGTCATTTGTAAGGCAAAGTACAAAAGCCAAATAAAACTATTACGACAAAAATTTATGCAATTTCTTAGCATGCACAGACATGTTATTTTATCCTCTTATAGAAGGAGAGGTGCCTCTAAGTGAGACAGGTGCAATGAAGGAGGGAAAAAAATGTAAAAAGGCTGGAAGCACAACACACAACACAGTCCAGGCTGCCTATCAGATTCCAGAATACCATTTAATCCCTCCTCTCCCACAAAAATTTTCATTCATCCATACAAGAAGCTGAAGCGTTGATTTGACTCTTGGATTCATTCTTACGGTTCTAGGGAGGCTAGACATTTCAAACATGATTCCTTGACTTTTAGCGTCTTAGAAACAGTAAAGAGACATGTTGCATGAGCTGTCGAGTCATATACTAGTTCTAGTACCTTGAGGGTAGAAAGGTTTGTTCGGCGGATAGCTGGCATTTCCCTGCTGCATGTAGTTCTGAGGCATATTGTAAGGCCACGCTCCTCGGAGGAGAGGAAAATGGGTAGGGGTCCCATGGTCCCAAGGGACAGAAGGTGGGTTCATTTTACCAAACTGTCCTTGGAAACCCTGATCTATTTTTCAATCGAAAGGGAAAAGCACATTGCAAGTTGAAATAATTAAACAATAAGTCACAAATACACTTTACATCGCAAATAACAGTTTGCAGGTGATTTTATGCAATTAATCTGATGTGCTAATTTTTAAAATATATACACCAATAAGAATTACCACCTAAATTATTTCATTATTCAGCATAATAGAATTTTATTGCAGGGGGAAGATAGACGTTGAATCAGTACTTAAATCAAGACCTAAAATCTCACTATTCCACACAAATAAATTAGACTGCATGTTATTCTTACGATGAAAAATAAAAGTTCTGAATAATGTTACTAATACCTGATCCTACACAGATCTTCACTATCACTCTCATACGTGTGACATGAAAGCACGTCCTACTTCAAGAAATAATTCTCAGAAGCAGTACAGTAGAATTCCACTAACATCTATATGCTTAAGAAACTCTGTAGGTAGATCACAGGACAAACTTAATAGTTTTTTTCTGGAAAGACCAATAAAAACTTCTGAAATTAATATACAAATTGTAAATTATTCTATTCATAAATCTAGTATTACTGCAGCATTAAGGATGAGAAATCAAGCATCAAGGAGGCAAGATACCTAATTATTGACGGTGCTATCAATTCTGCTCTTTTTGTTCATAGCTCCCCATTTTATAAAAAACAGAAATACCCTGTAATTTAAAACCTTGGTCAATGTACATTCAAAAAAAAAAAAGTAACTATCCTTCTCAGAATACTAGTTTGCCTTAGAAAACTTACAGACTTTTAATATATAACAAGCAAGCTATGGATTTAAAAAGAACAGTTGTTTTATACAATAAAACATGAAATATAGTTCAGAAAAAAAGGATAAAAAAGTTGTTCTTCTGAATCTTCTATCAATCCTACTTCTGACTAGATTGTCTACTGAAAAGAAAGCAAATTTGCTTCTTCCCACTCAAGATTACATGAGGCAAGACAAAGTTTCCATTAATTCGCTGTTCCTAAATTGTTCCAGGCAAGCATGAAAGCAGGCTTCAAACAGAGAGTACACAGCTCATCTTTGCAGTGCTCCTACCCAATGACCTACTGTAACGGTATCTAAACCATAAAGGAAACAGTTGATTAAAGCACAAAGAGGGCAAACACCAAAGTGTGATGAGAGAAAATGAAAGGATTTCAACTGGGAGAAAAAAATCTACTGAGAGTGACCGCAAGAAAACTGGGAAACATTCCGTGCAGACAAGATGAGAATGGCAGTGCGCAAACAGAGACAAAGTGCAAAAGAAAGACTGCAGCCAGACTAACAGACAAGATAAGAAACCCTGACACTAGTTAAGAGAGGAAAGAGAGACAAGAAAAGAAACTGGAATTTGATGAGCACGTGTGAAAGGAGGCAGCTACCTGGGTAAGACGATGTGGATCGGAAGGAGGTGCTGGAGAAATGAAGGCAGCGCTGGGGTGAACTCAGAAAGGGGAGACAGATGAAGCATGATCGAGAATTAAGACAAGAAATGATGGAGGATTAGGGACAAAGGCAAACTTTGAAAGCACACTGGCAGCAGTCTCTGCATCCTCTAYAATATATTCCCCACATGGCCGATAAGCGAAAAATACGCAACTCCTGTCAGCAAATACCTRAAAGTTGAATGGTGAAGTACATATATCTTATCTAATACTGTTGACTCATAAATGAAACTCCTTTATTGCTGTCAATAATTTTATTAGTGTGGAGAGAAGATGTGCAGCAGATTTAAAATTTTGGTTTCTTGTGATGAATGACTGTCTCGGTTCAATTTTTTAACACGGGTTAAGTTATTCAGAGAATAAATCAAAAATATTATGGTTTAGAAGATCACTGTTTAAGTTCAGGGGCAGCCGCCGTGTGAATTGCTCAAAGAATTGCCCTGTTAGCTACTACAAACTGTTTTTCTCAGCCCCATCAAACACGTCAGCGTAC